CCCCCCCACACACACACACACATAGACGTTGAATAACTAAATATAACTAAGAGTTGTCTCTCTGTTCACAGATGGTGATAGATGCTGGTCTGCTGCCTCCTCTCATCACCATCCTGCAAGTAGCAGAGTTTCGCACACGCAAGGAGGCAACGTGGGCCATAACCAATGCCACCTCAGGAGGCTCCGCCGAGCAGATCAGGTAGAACTTTGTACTTTACACAGCTAGTTCTCCAACACCGTTTATGCCGCTGTGCACAAATAATTTTAGACTTTTACTTTGTAAATAAAGTGCAAATAAAATGCAGACTTTGATAATGAGAGTTAATGCTCGTTGTTTTAATGGAGTTTATGCAGGTAACATTACAACATAGCTGTGTATTTTGTATTTTAGAATTAATATATCTTTAAGTTCTCAAACCTGCATTTAACAAACAGTAAGCTCAAGTGTAGTTTTAACTTAGGAACCTTTTTTCTAATTAAATGTTAATTGAGAGGCTTTCCTCTACATGTGTGTTCGCTGTCTGCAGGCATCTTGTGGAACTTGGTTGTATAAAACCTCTGTGTGATCTGCTCACACTCATGGATTCCAAAATAGTTCAGGTGGCTCTAAATGGTTTGGAGAACATCTTGCGACTTGGAGAACTGGAGGCCAAAAGGGGAGGAGGAGGCATCAATCCTTACTGTGCGCACATCGAAGAGGCGTATGGTTAGTACACACACGTTTATATTTCTATTTTTATTGGGACTGTTTGTTTACTTCCATTCATTTCTGTAGCCTAACCCCTACAATAAACACCTCCTCAATTCACACTTAGTCCTAATCCTAACCCCTAATCCATCAATGGAGCTCCATATGTTAGGACCAGTCTTTAGCCCCCTTAAGGACTACTGGCCCTGACAAGGCAGGTGCTTATATCAGAAATTATCCTAAAAATGTAACAAAAACCTGGAACACRTGGTTWTTCCTCCCCCTTGAAGAAAAGTAACAATTTTCCTTGTTTGTTAATTTTTTTATACTTTTTCACACAAAGTGTCAAAAGCAATGCAGTTTTTATTGGTTTGTGTAAAAAGTTATTCTTATCAAATAATTATTTTGGTTTGAGAAGCATCGGTCTAGATATAATGAAACATAAACCTCTTTGTTTGATTTAACTTGATCCAACATGAATTTATTGTTTTTATGTAATAAGTGTCAAATATTAGTAAAATATAAACAATGGGTGAGATAATATATTCTTAAACTGGGGTTCACAAACCGTTTCATGCCATGGCCCCAAACAATATTAGCTCCTGTCATCGGACCACCTACAAACCCACAAACAGTTCGAAGAAACTTCAACTTTTAAAATGTTTTTTTTCCACTATTCAATAATTTACATTTGTTTAGCATAAGCATTTTATTAAAAACCTACTTCTCAACAAACTTGATGAGAACCAATAAATTAAACCTTTTTTTAATAACATTTAAATGTATTATTATAAATTATATTTTAAGATAATTATTAAGAAACACATTTTATAATAAAAATATTTATTATTTGTTGTTTTTTATTTTTGCATTTTTCTTATTTTTCCTCCAGCTTTCTGAGGCCCCCTGGTGGCCCCCCTAATGGGCTGCGACTCCACTTTGAAAAACTCGGGGCTAAAAGATCAGAGAAACTGCAGTCGGAGTCTTTTTGTCCTTGTTTAGTAAAAATGTTTTTTTGTCTGTCTGTCAGGTCTGGACAAGCTGGAGTTCCTGCAGGGCCACGAGAACCAGGAGATCTATCAGAAAGCCTTCGACCTGATCGAGCGCTACTTCAGCACAGAAGACGAGGACCCGTCTCTGGCCCCGGCCGTGGACCTGCAGCAGCAGCAGTTCCTCTTCCAGCAGTGCGAGGCCCCGATGGAGGGCTTCCAGCTATAATGCTGAACCTGGCCCCTCCCATCGTGCTCCAGCTTCATCTTCACCTCATGCTCACTTCTCTCAGTCTCTGCCCCTGCAGCCAAGGTCCGGAGCAGCGTCATGGCCCCCGGCAGTCCCACCTCTGTCCTCCTCTTGCCCTCAGAGGTGGATTTAATCATCATCATGATTGAAACATCATTTTCAGGAGCACACACACGTCTGAGCGTCCCTCTGACACGGGTCAGTTTCTGCAGTCCTGTCAGCCAGTTTGTGAAGGTTCAGTTCTTCATTCTGTTTCGTGCCGACTTCTTTACCATCTGACCCTCGTCGTCTGATCAGGGCCCTACCCTGGGCCCTTCTCCTACCTGCAGAATATTTCCCTTGTAACGGCGTCTCCACTTTACTCCTCCTCCTCATTCGCTTCTGTTGATTCTTTTTGGGATCRGCAAGCTCCAAATCTCAGTGGGAGGATTTGGACTGCGCTGCTCGTCTGAAGCATTAATGACCTGACAAAAAGACGTGGTATGATCTAACCTAAACACTGGACTGACTTGGAAACATCGACTACACGTTTGCTTCACAGCACACGACGGGACTTCCTACAAAAGGCATTTAACTCTCAGATGGAGGTTTATTTCTCTCACCTCTTCAAACCACAGATGGACTAATTAGAAACCTGACTGTTGCTGTGGGGTGGAGTCTGTCGGCGGTGGAACAAGCTGCTCGCGTTCCCACCTGAGTTTCATATCATTCCTCTAACCAGTATTGGGACTTTTTATTTTTCCTCCTGCACTGGCTCCATCCTCAGAGTTTAGACTGCCTCCTCTGGCGTGACGAAAAATAWAAAAATAAATAAAACCACCCCATGGAATCATGGGAATTGGAGTCTTCCCTTGCACTGAGACTATTGGATGGACTTGGACGAGACAAAGCAGACTATATAACTCTAGATTCTGTCCAGCAGCAAACCAGCGGGATGTTTTTGTTTTTCTTCTTTTGTTTTAATTATGCTATAAGTTTGTTTAATTTGCAGCACTTTAGCTCTGGACAGATGTCTGTCTGTCGACAGGCATTTCTACATTTCTCTTTAATTGGTTGGTGACACAGCTCTTCCTCAAAAAGCAATTTTGTAAAGAGGGATGTTCTTATTCTCTTCCTTTCCCTGTAGGACAATTCCACCATTAGCCCCTCCCTCCAGAAGGGAGCAGGCAGGTCGAGGACTGAAGCAATCAGCAAATATTTGTCACAGAGGATCATGTTGCCTCAGAAAATTAGAATGTTGTTTGTTCAAAGTAATGTTCTGAATTTGGAAAATTGGCTGTTTTTAAAAAGGTGAGGAGTTTAAAACACGACTTTACGATGTGTGCAGGTACAATGTTTCAATTTGGTTATACCAAATCAGCACACTAATCAGCTCGTAGGCCTGAGGATTAATTTTTTTTATTATTATTTGAGAGTTTGCATCTGTAGCTGATGGTGCCATAATCCCTATATGATAAAAGAAAATCTTCCATATATTTTCAGCAAAAGAATCCAGATCAAAACATAAAAAAAATCTGGCTATCATTTTAGTTAGCACAACTGAATATTTGTTTACCAAGTCCTGTTCACGTTGCTTACTTTTGTTGAGTTTCAGCAAAAGATGAGCAGCTCTATGAGTTCATTACTGTTTGTTGTGTTGGGTTTGTGCATCTGTCCTCTGTTTATGCCATTTGCATAAAACTTGTTTCATAAACTGATAAACGTGGTATCAGTTTTATTAGGATACAAGATCTGTCGCTAAAACMTCAAAAATACTTTTTGTTTTTTAACGAAGTTACAAAAACAAGGCAACTTCACAGAACTAAACCACTAAATTAGTTCAAGCATCAAGTGTTCCTGTTCACAATTAATACATGTAGGAGAAATACCAGCTTCTATTTACTGGTTGAACAATTAGTCTTTATGCACAGAAGAACAGTCATCTTATTAAAATCAGATTAAGAAGAAACATTCATTTATTTAAATGTTTTGCTTCTACAAAAAAAAAAACAACACCACGAGCCAAAAACAAACTTCATTCTATTGATATATAAACAATAACAAAACATTTGTGTCAGATACGCTACTTTTTTTTCTGGGAAACAAACCTAAAAGCATAAAAGTTTAAAACTTCTTTAATCTGAAATAGAATTTGTTGCCTCCGTTTTATTTTTCCCATTACATTGGTGCTGTTTGAAAAGGTGCCGTTCAACGTTTTTGCACAAGTAAGAAACGTAAGTAAGTTTTTAAAGAAGTACCACCATAGCTGATTGTTTCATGGTTCTACTACTCTGAGGTGGGAGCAGGAAGGGAGACCCTCTGTGCCCACAGTTTGGGGGGTGGGGGGGTGTGATCGCTCCGTCGGGACGAGCTCTCCTTCACTGAGCCTTCATCTCTTTCTCGTGTTCCTCCCTCCACCTGGCTTTCTTCTCCAAGTTGTAAGCTACCAGGGACTCGTGTCTGGCTGCAGCCTGTGGAAGCAAAGATAAGAAGAAACTTTTTATTTTGGATCGACCACGTTGCCTTCCTTCTGCAYCCCTAAGCAAACACCTGAGAACCTTTTTCCTGCTTTATTAATGAATTAGTTAAGAAGAAGCTGCAGCGCAGACAAGTACAAATCCTGTTTTTCCACTTCCATTTATTTTTGTCTTAAGCTGCTACTGAATGAACAGAGCGTRAAGAAATGTTGCAGTCACCGTTACTCACCCTTTTGCCCGAAATCACCATAACCACACAGCCTATTAATGTCAGCACTATCATCCCATTGGCAACTTTTATTCTCATTTTGTCCCTGGCAGCGTCAATCGTCCGGAAMCTGAAACAAATGTAAAACATTTGGTAATGGAAAAAAGCTGAGCCGATGTGTTCTGTTATATAATAGCAGGTGATTATGTTATCTCTCTTTTCAAACATATCTTAAATCAACAATAAGAACAACTTCCTGAGTTCTTATCACGGGTCTTTTTGTTCCCCCTCCAGTCCAACAACTGGGATGGTTTTACCCACTAAACAACGACAAGCAGACCTTTCTTTTTTTATCTGATCAGACGTGATCTCCGCCCTGCTGTCAGGAGTCGCCCTAATTACCTCCAGCTGCAAACAGACGTCCTGTTTGAACTACAGCTGTCTCCGAGGGTCCAGCTACACGCCGAGCCGCCGCTCATTCAGTTAGCCGGCTCTGTTCTCGTGACGCGCAGGCCAGCGGACAGCGGCGCCCTGCTGTGAGGTCTGGTTTAAAACAGGAAAAGGCCACTTACGACACAAAATCTGGGATCTGGTCCACGGACTTGAAGCGGCCTGTCCAGACTAACATCTTCTTGTCCATCCGAGAGGGTCTGAGGCCTGGGACTTGCAATTGGGGATGGGATTCTGTATGAAAGGAACACATTAGGGTAAACAAAAACAAACCCTGATGCATGTCAGCTTATCCGCTTTTCTAAACAAACGGGCGATATTTTCTCCCTCCCATCACAGAGACCTGTCATCACATTTCCTGTGTTCCTCTCAGTCCTTTGGGTCTAAAAGCAAACATTCAACACTCCGATCTTTTCACAGCACTCTGACATGCTGGTCTTAAACTATACAATACTTCAAGTTTTGCAAACTCATAAGCGATTTAGTGTATTCTTCAGTTAAAAGTAAACGGTAAATATGATGCTAGCAGTTTCCTGCAACACAAGAAAGAAAATGTTTAAAGGGCCCATGTTGCGTTGGTGGGGTTGGGCATGTTGAGACAACATGGGGGTGAAAAAAGAAAAAACAGTATTCAATCCAAAAACTSCACCTTGAGCTGAAGCTGCAGGTGAAGCCTCTGCTTTGGTCTCCTGCAGTTTGTTACTGCACATCCCTCTGATCCTCTGACCTGTTCAGAAATAACACAAGGATGATCTCTTAAAACTGAGAAACAATGGGCTTTATTCTTTAACTGTAATTACAAACTGAATTCAGAAAAACAAATACAATAAGCTTTTCAAAATAAAATATGATGGCTTTGGACGATTAAAAGAAAAAAAAAAACAACACGAATCAAAAGTCGTGAGTCTATTTTATTCCAACTTCATTTCAGTCATAAAATGTAATAACACTCATAAAAACCTAAGAGACACAAACCACAGACTAGACTGTATGAAACCACTGTTAACCCAACTGTGATCATTAAAGAAGCTCTAACTCAAAGAATAAACATTTATATGCGAACAACCTCAGCAGCAGCARTTCATAACAAGACCCAGAAAGCAACAGGACGACATTGCGACTGCTAGGTGACAGAAACGCGTTAAAATAAACTTGATACGAACCGAGGAGGTTTCTGACGGACAGGCGAGGTCTGACGAGATTCATGTCCGAACCGGTAACTAAATGAGACTGTGAGGTACTGAACACAGCCGCAGTCCCTTCCTCTAGTCCCCTTCAGCTTATCAACATGAAAGTCAACTAGCTGACCAGGCCCTGTCATATAACTTTAGGTGTCTGAAATGTGCCGGATCAAAATTTAGTGGGGTCTTAAAAATGTACACGTTTAAAGAGTTGGCAGCGGTTATTTTTCTCCACTAATAATGCTTTTTTTAATGTTAAGCCAAAGCACATCCATAAAAAAGACATGCGAAATTTTTAGCTTAGCATAAATCCTCCCCCAAAAGTGGGAATTTTAAAACAAAATCGTCGTTATGACAAATGACGTAATGTTATGACGTAATTAGTTTGTATTTATGCTTGCATAAATCTCACATAAAATAATAACAGAAAGAAATACACCAACAAATATTTATAATAATAAAATAAAACAATAAATTTCCGTTCAGGCGCCATCCTGAACAGTCACGATTCTGTGGAGGACCCCCTGAAATCCACTATGGCGGCTCCCAATGGAAGTTTAAACTGTGAGGACTTTTCCCTGTTTCAGGTAGTTTAAATCAAATATCTGCTGATTTCTGCAAACGTTTCAAAAGGTGACAATAATCTGAGATGTTAGGTTTCGAAGGAAGAATCAGCTGATTCTTTATTTGTTGTGTAAGCTGACTGTCCTGGTCCTGTAGGGGTCCACACTGAATTACACAGAACTGGCAGCATGCTGTAAGGATTACCTTCACCAAGGAGTTTAGATAAAATGAACCGTATCTGTGTTTTCTCTAAACTACTAGCATTCATTTACTCCTTCATTGTGTATAAAGTCAAAACATACAGTTTGCTTTATGAGTAGCTGATATTTGAAGAGTTACACACAATTAAAATTAGCATCTGCATGATTGCACTGATAATAAAATGAAACATTCAATTAAGTATAAAGTTTCAGTTATATTTTCTGTGTTTAACGGGAAAACGCATGAACTGGTCATTATTTACTACAGTTTTTTTTTAACTAAAATCTCAGTTTTCAGGCCTTAGACTTACGTGCAGTTTAACAGACAGATTTGTGTTTCTCTAATTTCAGTTAAATAGATAATTGTGTATTTGTGAGCCATCATTTAGAAACGGAATGAAATGATGCAGTTGGACGTAAACTGTGAATGAGTAGCAGATTAAGTCAGGTCACAAATATAAACATGCATTTGAATTCTTGTTACATTTCCAATGAGTGAACTTAATAAAAAGTAAAGAAGTTAATAAAAAAATAATAAAGTTAGACATTTTGGATGAAGTTTAATTACATTTCTTTTAAGAAAATGATATCTCTGTATGCAAGTAATTCGCATATTTAAATAATTTCAATTAGCAAACACACTGCAGCTTACTAAAACAGCTTACATGGTGTTAAAATGAGAACTTTATATTTTCTGGTCAGGATTTTACATCATTATTTTAGTTCATCAGAGTGTGTTCATTTAGGCCCACAGCTCCCTCTAGTGGTTGTGTTTATAAATGCCTTCAACATAACCAGACTTGCAGCCTTCATTAAATTATAATTAAAATGTTTTCTTATTGCTTTTGACCATTCAGGCTCAGGTCCTTCCTTTCTGTGAAGCTGCTCACTGGTTTGTGTTGCACCTTGTTTTTTGTTTTTTTTCTTAGGAGATGCTGAAAGCGATGCGAACCATAGACGACCGCATCGTCCACGCTCTGAACACTACCGTGCCCACAACTTCATTCTCAGGAAAAATAGATGCTAAACAAACATGCAAACAACTCTATGAGTCTGTGAGTGTCAGGAGAAACCAAACTGTTTGTGCGTGTTCTTCAGGTTTTTCATACTTTAACCCCGATGTTTCTCCTGCCGTCCCACAGTTGATCGAGGCCCACCAGAACAGAGACAGAGCCATCAAGGCCTGTATAGCTCAGAAATCTGAGCTGGTGGGACAGCTGCGAGAGGAACGAGCGAAAGACGGCAACAATCTGAAACTAATCAAAGAGCTCAGACACGAGCAGACCAACGTAAGTGCCGTCGTTACAGCCAGCAAAAATGTGTCACATAAATGGTTTTATTTTTGTGTTTTCAATATTTACACAGCTCATTTAACATAACTTAAAGGTTTATTTTGAGAACTCAAAGCTTTGAGAAGTGAACACAGAATCATTCTCCAGGTTCTTTATTAAAAATATGATATATTATTTTGACATATGTGTTACTCAGTTTGTGTTTCTCAGATAAAGCTAACTGTTTTAGCAGCAGAGCCAAAAGGTTTTTATGTTTTGCTGTTGATTTGAGCAAATTTAAGACTAACTTATCTATTTTGTTTTGTCTCCAGTTAAAGTTAATGCGATCAGAGCTGAATGTGGAAGAAGTCATCAACGATAGAAGTCTGAAGGTGCTGGAAATATTTCCAACAACCTTTTTAATTAACACAAAACTTCTTGTTTACTTATGGCCTTTTCTTTCTTTTCAGGTGTTTTTTGAAAGGTGTAGAATTCACTACATTCCTCCCAAGTCCAAGTGAGACGACTGAAGAAAAAAAGTCACTTCTCTTGAAGTTCTGATCCAGACTGTAGATGTATTTTCTGAGTGATTTTTTTTTTTTAGCAGAGTTCCCACCGCTGGAAAAGTGTCATCTGTTTGCTTTCTTAAAGATCAGTGTTGTACAGAGAGATTTTTTTAAAAAAA